CTGTGCCTCCTCTTTCCATTCCCTCTGCTGCCAGTCAGTCTTCATCTTCCATTTCTCAATCCTTATCTTCCAATTCTCCTTCCAATCATGCTGGCAGTCACAGTCCCACTCCTTGTTCTCCTCCTTCTAATACTTCTGGTTCTTCTCCTGAATCTTCTACTTCTGCCAGTCAGCAGATGCTCACTCCTGTTCCTCAGCCTCTCACTGCCATTCCTGCTCCCTCCTCTCCTTCTATCTCTCCTGGTCTAATCCTCACTGATCCAGCTGAAACTAGTACCATCTCTCCTTCCTCCTCTCACAATCTTTCTGAACCACCTACTTCAAGCCCTAATCTCAGCCCTCCTACTTTATCTTTACCTTTCATTCACCCTCAAAACGTGCACCCTATGCAAACTAGAGCCAAAAGAGGTATCACTCTACCCAGACTTCATCCTACCCTCCTTTTAACCCACATGGCACCCACTTCTGTTGGTCAGGCCTTGGCTGCTCCTCATTGGTTTCAGGCAATACAAGAAGAGTATCAGGCACTGATGAGAAATCAGACCTGGACATTGGTGAAAGCTCCTGATTGCAGGAAGCCTATTGGTTGTAAGTGGGTGTTCAGAACAAAGGAAAACCCTGATGGCTCCATAAACAAGTACAAGGCCAGATTAGTAGCTAAAGGATTCCATCAAAGGGCTGGCAGTGATTTCCAAGAGACTTTCTCACCTGTCATCAAACCTGTAACAGTCAGAATCATTTTAACCATTGCTGTTAGTAACAAATGGACAATCCAGCAAATTGATGTTAATAATGCTTTCCTCAATGGCACTCTTGAAGAGGAAGTGTTTATGCAGCAGCCTCCTGGTTTTGAAGCAGCTGACAAGTCACTGGTGTGTAAATTGAACAGGGCGATTTATGGTTTAAAGCAGGCTCCTAGGGCCTAGTTTGATAAATTGAAGAGTGCACTGGTTCAACTTGGTTTTCAAGCTAGCAGGTGTGATCCTAGTCTCTTTTTGCTGCATCAAGGCAAGCTTCAGGTCATGATTCTGGTGTATGTTGATGATATTATCATCACAGGCAGTTCAGCTCCCTTTATTACCTCATTAATCAAGCACCTCAACAACAAATTTTCACTAAAACAATTGGGACAGCTTGATTATTTTTTAGGCCTTGAAGTCTCTCATCTCTCTAATGGTTCTTTGCTTCTATCTCAAACCAAGTACATCTCTGATCTACTGACCAAACTTAATATGCTCAATGCTAATGGCATGCCCACTCCCATGGTTTCCAGCAGCAAATTATCCAAAGTTGGCTCAGCTACTGTGGAAGACCCAACTCACTTTAGGTCAGTTGTTGGTGCCTTGCAATATGCCACTTTAACTAGGCCTGAAATCTCTTTTTCTGTCAACAAAGTTTGTCAGTTTCTATCCAATCCTTTAGAGGATCATTGGAAGGCAGTCAAGAGGATTTTGAGGTACTCAGGTGGCACTCTGCATCATGGTTTACTCATTCAACCTGCCCCTGTCCAGCAGCCTATGCAATTATTAGGATTCTGTGATGCAGATTGGGCATCAGATCCTGATGACAGGAGGTCCACTTCAGGGGCCTGTATCTATCTTGGTCCAAATGTTGTTTCCTGGTGGTCCAAGAAGCAACAGCTTGTTGCTAGATCCAGTGCTGAAGCAGAGTACTGCAGCATGGCTCAATTGGCTGCTGAGCTCATTTGGATTCAGTCTTTACTTCAGGAACTTCACTGCTCCTGTCAGGTGCCTAGGATCCTGTGTGATAACTTGAGCACTGTCACTCTTGCTCATAATCCTATCCTACACAACAGAACCAAGCATAGGAACTAGATATATTTTTTCTGAGAGAGAAGGTTCTCAACAAACACCTCTCTGTGGTTCATGTTCCAGCACATGATCAGTGGGCTGACATTCTCACTAAACCCTTATCTGCTGCCAAATTTGTACCTCTGCGTTCTAAGTTGCGCGTGTTAGACAAAATTGCTTTGAAACACCCACCAGCAGATTCTAAGGGGGACTAATAGAGTAGTGGTATAATGTAGTGAAATAAGTGTGACTATTTCAGTAGTGGATAGAGTAGTGGAATATGTGTGTTCTATTATTGCTGAGCTGACAGCTTGTTTGTCACAGTTTGTTAGACTTGCTCCACTATATATAGCAAGCTCTTTGTATCTTTCTAAATACAAAAATATACAATGAGAATTTCTTTCATTCCTTCTATTCTCTCTACATTAACAATGTTCTATTATTGCTGAGCTGGCAGCTTGTTTGTCACAGTTTGTTAGACTTGCTCCACTATATATAGCAAGCTCTTTGTATCTTTCTAAATACAAAAATATACAATGAGAATTTCTTTCATTCCTTCTATTCTCTCTACATTAACAAAGTCTATCAAAGCTATCTTAATTTCAGACATTCAAAATGGAAATTCTGAAATTCACATCGAGCCAAGGGTGAAATAGCCTTAATTTACCATTTGACTTAAATGATTTATCTAAATTAACTTCTACAGAAATGTCAATCAATTATCATAAGAAATGCAAATAAATAAATCAATAGAACAGCTATACACTCACTCTCTTCTTTCCTCTCACATGAAAAAGGAATCAATTAAGTTTTTATGTTACTTGTCATTGAAATCTCTCAGCTTCCAATTGTTTCAACATAATGCTATAATTTACAAACACTTCCTCTCCACAAAATTATCACACACAGACAGTAATTCTTACAGCTACAACCAAATCATATCCCACTAGATGTGGTCGGCTACATCATTCAAAGGAATCATATCTTTATAGAAACCATTGACCTGTGCTGTAAGTCTTTCTTGATAGTAGTTTTCTAGTGTTTAGTATGGAAAATGTTTCCCACAAAGTCTCTTGTTTGGTTGTATGCAGTAATGAATTTCCTAACTTTAGTGTGACAGTCAAAAGATAATTCCGTCCTACTTAATTCCTTCCAACAAAAGCAACAAAAGTTACAACTACAAGCAAACCTTGTATGGTTAACTAATACCAACATGAGAAGTTAGCTACATCATTCAAATTCAACCAATCAAGCAAGCAAGAACTAAAATCTGGAAAAACACGATCAACAAAATGAGCCGGTGGAAAGAGAAGTTGTCATGGAAGATATATACAACTCCAACTACAATGCTACTTAGCAGTAACTGATAAGTCTTTTCCTGTCCGATCAACAATGTCAATACTGAAGCTGGTCTAGAAGTTAGACATCACCCCACATTGACTTAAAAAGGGATACAAGCTGTATCCCAGACAGCCACCAGGGTAACAAATAAGCTACAAATAAACTTCAATTCATTTTACTCACATTATTCTTTGGATTTTAAATATGACAACAGTGAGGAGTGGATTTCAAAATAGGCAAGAAACATAGTGGAAGAAACCTCCTATCTTCTCTTCCTTTTATTTTTTATTTTAAAAAATTACATATAAATCAATAAATGCAATCATACCCTCATAGTCATACTACCTTTAAGATCAGACCAACAGATCATTTACCATCAACGAGAACAACGATTATCATTGATTATCAGCAACAAACAGATTGCCCAGTACATAATAAAATCACTTCACCCACAAACCTAAAATGATAGGTTTCAAAAGTTTTCTATAAATAAAGGAAATTTCTTAATATCACAAAACTGTTCATCACAAAACAATATTATTTGCCATTCGCCCGTGTTTTCCACCAAAATCTTATTGAAAAGTTTATCCTTGATTCTTGAAAGGTGATACGTGCAATGAAGTTTTGCATAAAGAAAATGTCAACAAAAATAAAACAGTTTCAAATTATTTCATCAACACTTAACACCTATTAACTTCCTCATTTCCTTTCGACCGAAAAGAAAACACAATCCCTACGGAAGCATAAAAAGAGGAACACCAAACAGAAAACGATTCCAATCTCTACCGAATAATTCACCATTGTTTCCCATCACATCAACTAACAACACATCTCAAAATTCTAAAACTCTACAAAGCAAAATTAAACAAGGAAATTCAAATCAACAGAAACAACATACTTTCACCACTGTAAAACTTATCAAACACCTCATCGAGTATCATTCATACATATTCAAAAAATAATTGCACTAAAAAACGCCAAAAATTAAAAAGAAAATTGAAAATTCCTATGAATTGAAGAAAATTAAAATGACCTGATGAGATTTTTTGACGTGATTCGAGGAGCCTTAATCGCAGCACCGATCAAGCTACTACCGGTGATATAAATTCCCCTAGAATCATCACACAAACAGATTCAAACGTAAGAATAACGGAAACAGGAGATCGGAATCGGAAAATTGAGGAAAAAGGCATTACCAAGCGGCGCCGAGAACGGAGACGCCGATTGAAACAGCGATACCGATTGCGGAAAAGGTGTAAGGGGAGATCCTAACGAGCGCCGCGGCCCAGGAGCTAGAATGCGCCGCAATGATTGCAGAGCCTGACATGGTGATGGTGTTCGTTGTGAAGGATCGGATCTTAGAGATTTTGTTTTGTTGTTAACCACGTAGTTGGAGAGAAAGAATTAAACGCAGTGTCGTTTTAGCTTTGTGAATTCAGAAAATAGATAAAAATAAATAAATTAATATTTTATATTTTTTTCGAATAAAAAATCCTTTGGATTTTGATAACGGCCCAAATATTTAAGGCCCTGAGGCCCATAGCAAATGAACTGAAGATCTATGTTCATCAATTCACTTTGCAAAATTTGAATTATTCATCTACGCTTAACCTAGCCGCCACCGTCGTTCATCAAGCTCGCCGCGCCGATCCTCTGGTTCGTAATTTTAGTTTATTTTCAGTATTTAATTTAATTTAAATAAATCTATGAAAGCTTTGAGTATTGATTTTGAAAGCATTTATTTGCAATGCTCTGATAGAGATTGAATTAGTAATATATATTATGGACTAGAAAATACTCATTGATTTTATACTAATCATTTGTACTTTTTTTTTTCTAGAGTAAAAAATGGGTAGCGGGAAGAAGAAGGCTCAGATGTTTGTAAAACTTGTGTCTGCTGCCGGAACTGGATTCTTCTATGTAAAGAGGAAACCTAGAACGTTTACAGAGAAGCTTGAGTTTCGTAAGTTTGATCCTCGAGTTAATCGCCATGTTCTTTTTACAGAAGCTAAAATGAAGTGATAATGTAACCATCCTGTACTGCTTTTTGAGATGATTATCACATTTGGTGCAACTGTTTGAATAATGCCAATCTTTTTATTGTCTGTGCCTATCCTGGGTTTTTGGCATATTATTACCTGGACATGTTTTTTTATGTTCATTTTGATGTAATAATAGCAACATGTGCAACATTTTACCATCAACATATTCCGTTTTGCATATGTGAAGATCCTTGTTGGATAATCAAAATGAGTTGACAAATAATGAACTCATTTTGGCAAAAGTATGTGGTAAATTTTTTCATGTTGCACTGTTTTTCAAAGGAAGCTATGGGTGTTGCATTGTGTGACAAGTGATATTTTATATTTTTACCCTTTTGGTTATAAATTCTTTAGCTTTTTCTGTTTTACTCAATGTGAAACTTCTTTCATCAACAACTCCTAATAAGCCAATATTCAGGGAACATGAAAATATCATTGCCTCAAGTATTGCTGTTTTTTTTCCTGGCACACAAATTGTTTCTCCCATGAAAACAACAAATTAGTGCATCTTTTCATGTCGCACACAAATAGGACTATATGGCTATTCTATTTCCTTAATATAGCTTATGTATGTGTTAAACCCCATGTATAATATCATTGTTTGTTTCACATATTCATAGCCAAAATCATCATTCTAGTACTACTGATAAAATAGAATAGGTACATAGGGTTGTTATATCCTCCTATTCTTTCTACATAAAAATGGCTACCTTGGTAAATATTATCTGCAAAAGAACTGTGGTGAGCACAAAGGCAATTCAACCAGGAAAGTACTTACCCTTATCAATTCTGGATCGTTTCATGGAGAAAAACCATATTAGAATGGTATACTATTACCAAACTTCAGAAGAATTGGAGCTTGGAAAATTGACCAAGAACTTGAGAGAGTCTTTGTCAGAAATGCTTTCTCATTTCCCTGTAGTGACAGGAAGGTTGTTAAAAGATGATATGGGACATTGGAAGATCAAATGCAACGATGCTGGTGTTAGAATGGTTGAGGCAAAAGCTAAAGGTAGTGTAGAAGAGTGGCTAAGAAATGTGGATAGAGAAAAGGAACTTAAACTTGTTTATTGGGAAGATATGCATCAAAAGCCTTACTATTGGTCCACTTTTTATGTTCAGGTTTGATTTTTGACGCCTTTAAACTCAGTTTGCACAAAAGCGCTTGTTATAATTTATGGAAGTTAAATACATTTTCATGCATTAAACATGATAATCTTAAACTCTGATCTTAATTTCAGCTAACTGAATTCGAGGAAGGTGGATTAGCAATTGGCTTAAGTTGCACTCATCTCTTGGCAGATTCCATCTGTGCAACAAATTTCATGAAGGTTTGGGCTGACATTTCATTAGGCAACAAATTGATTTCACCTCCAATATTCCACCCTTTACCTCCTCGAAAACCGCAAAACAAAAAGCCCAATAATAACTCATATATGGGCTTAATATCTCACTATAAGTCCTCAATTGAGAAGCCCCTTTTTATCAAGGAATCAAAGTACACCACCATTTCCATGGGCTTCTCTCACTACATGGTTCAGGCTTGCATGTCTATGGCCCAAATCAATGGCTCATCAAGCCCAAGCCCAAAATCAACACCATTTGAAGCCCTAGCCGGGTTGTTTTGGGTTGCCTTAAGCAAAATCAAAGGAATACAAAATGGGCTTGTTGACATGTCCATATATTTGAATGTAAGAAAAATCATGGGCTTAGATGAAGGATTCTTTGGAAACTCCATGCTATATAATAAGGTGCAATTAGAAGGAAATTTCAATTTAGATTTATATGAGAATAAATTTCCACAAGCTACTAAGGCCATAAGAGATGCTGTGGCTAACATTAACAATGAGGAAATAATGGATTTAATTGAGTGGTTTGAAAATAATGATATAAATTCATCTACAATGATGATAGGTCATGATTTGGTTTTTACTAGCTTAGAGGATGGTGACCCTTACTTAGCTATATTTCAAGATATGTTGAAACCAATTCATGTCTCTTATTACATAGAGCCAATTTTTGGAGAAGGACATGTTTTGATTCTTCCAACACCACTTGATGAGGGTCCCTTAGGAAGGGTAGTAATGGTGACACTTGAAGAAGAAGAGGCAATTAAGCTTTGTGAAGATGAATTTATTTCACAATTCTCTCCTAATATCTTGATGAAATGTGTCAATAAATATTAATTGTGTTTTATACATAATGTGTCAATAATGGTGAGATTATCTTAAAATAAAATTGTATGATTGTCTTCGCACCTTCAAAAGAGCATGCACTTATTATCTTCGTCAACACAAATTTAAAGTGGTTTTGATGATTAATATATAATATTTTAGTTTACCAATAGTATATACCTACTAATCAGCTAACTAGGTTGGTGGAATTCTGATCATCATCACCAACATAATTATAAAAATACCAGTACTGTAAATAATTAGCATAACCTTTAAAAACTAAATCAATTCATGACCTTGTAACTTGTTATCAATTAGGTGTAATTTAGTTGGGGAATATATATATTTGGAGGGCACCAATCAATGTGCTCACTGCTGAGCATATAATTTTGTCAACTGAATTATTAAGTGTCAATTTTAATTTTAAGATATATACATATATTGAAAAGAAAAATGATTAATCCAATGATTTAAATAATTAAATCAAGTGCTCGTATTAGGTCAATCTATTAATACCTCAGTCTCTCATTATAAGACTCTTAAATTTTTTCTTGTCCTTTTATAAGATTCTCTTTAATTTTTAAAGTAGATTAATTTTTTTTTTTCAAACATATTCTTAATTATATTAAATATTTTTCTATAATATGTAATAAATACAATTACATACACGTTAACTATTTTTCTCTCGTTAGGATAAACTTGTAAAATTATATAAAATATTTAATAAATTTATTTTAACAAATTTTTTTTAATTCTCGCAATTTACCAACGGATCTTATATTTAGGGACGGAGGTAGGGGTGGCAAAGCGAGCGTGCCGTCCCATTTAGGCCCTCCGTTCAAAAGTGGGGTGGGATAAGCCAACATAGGGGTTCGAGATCAAAAATCAAGTACGTCCTATTTACTAACGAGTTGACGGGTTGGTGGACTGACCAGTCAATTTTGTTTTTATTTTACAATTTGATTTAATACATAATTTAGAAAAAATTTAATTATTACCAAAGAGGTCGATAAATACATTTTTTTAACAACGCATAATAGAACTTCAAGATGTTTTAAGTCCAAACAATTCAAAAAATTTAATAAATAAAGATCAATTACAATAAAAAAAATAAAATAAACTCAAACACAATAAAGAATATAAAATAAATAAATAATACATATCATCTTAATCATATTTAAAAACTAACTACTAAAAAAACTCAATTTAAAATTTACACAAAACCAACAATGATAACAATAACATTACATAAAACATTACAATGTATAAATAGTAATTACATTATATAAACTCTTATATTGATTGATTGTTTAATAGTTAAATCTTAAATTTGTCACATGTATACACTAATCAAATCATTCCTTTTCATAACATCAATATCTATTTCTAAAGAAAACATCTGAGTTAATATATTGAAAACTTAATAATTATGCATGTCATACATTTGTTCTTTTATTTTAATTATTTTCAACCAACGCATGTATTAGAAAGTTATAGAAAGAACGTTATAATTATAATTCAATTTGTCTGTATGATAATTTATAATACAGTCCTAAAATATAAGTGTTGTTTTTATAATTAAAATTGTTTTAATTCTTAATAAAAAGAGTAAAAAATTTAACAAAAAGCCAGCGGGGAAAACTCGCCCTGCCTCGGCCCGCTTTTTTAAGTGGATTAAATGGGACGGGCCTGTAGCGGTAAAATCAATGAAGTCGCCACCGAGTATTTATTTATCCCATAAAAGGGAAAAGAAAATCATCAAAGAAAAACCTAAAGGGGGAAATCAAGGTCTTGCGACCGAGAGATTGAGTAAGGGAGTCGATTACGCGAGAGGAAGGTATTAGTGTAACACCCTCTAAAACCCCAAATAAATTTTCGCAAATAATTAAAATTATAATTTCAGAGTACATGTATTAACGAGGATGTCACAATTCTCTTTTAATAAAAACAAGTTCCTGTCATGCATAACATAGAAGCAACTCATACATGTTTACACAGCGGAATAATTTAATTAACAAAACCAATGTTATAATATTTTTAAAATCATCAGGGATTAACACCTGGAAAATATCAACATCATATTATAACAAACATAAGGAAATAAACGAGTCTGACTAAAACAGCTCGACAAACAAACGTTCCCGGAGTTACAACTACCAGAGCATGACCCGGACAATACTTAAACGGAAATAAATTAGAAACAACAAGCCTTCGCCAAGCACCTGAACGAAGCTCCTCAATCTGAAATATTCAACAATAAGGGTGAGCATCTCAACTATACATTTGATTATACGTTCATAACGACCAATACAGAAAAATCATAAGCATCACCCAACAGTTAGCATGTTTCATAGTTTACGAAAACCTTTACAATTCATATGTTCATAATATATTACTTTTCGTACTCATAATTAACATCACACATCATTAACAATTTAGCAACAATACATGCATACGATCAATTAAATACAACATTGGAAAATCATCCATTCATGTTATATTCAATATAATGCAACACACCCATGCATGTGGTACCATTTTACCGCCCCATTAAATCTCGGGTCACGGATAACTCACCGTTCCATTATATCGCGGACACGGCTACCACCTCAACGTTCCATTAAATCGCGGACACGTATATTGGCCACCATGTTAATTCCACACAATGGGAATTAACAAATACAACATGATATGTAAAGTATGTAACGCTCAGCATACTATTAACATCAAGAAAACATATCATGCAACATCAACAATATCAATCATAACAGGATATGGATAGTATGTAACCACTCAGCATACTATTAAACATCAACCAATCATATCAAGTTATATCATAATTCATGCTTGATAACATCATCTAAAAGCATGACAATAACATCCATGTAGTGTTGGTATCATAACATACAAACGTTATTCGATACAAGCATCAATCAACACTAGGAAATCAATAAACAGCATATTCAAAACATGTCAAACACTGCACATCAAAACAGGATCAATCCGTACATAACAATATCCATTTTGCATAACTCAAAGCAACACATCGATTGAAAACACAATTCCTTTCTACGTTAGTCAATTTCCAATCTTAAGGACAGCATTACTTCACTTAAGGTCTTATTTTTCAAATCATACACAACTCAGAATTTTCGTCTCAAAACATCCTATTTTATCAACAATTCATTCATCAACAACAAGTTTATAAAATTGACCTTAAGTTACATATTACCCGTCCTTTAGGGAAATCCTAACAACATTGAGGTTATCCCTAGAATTACCTAAGGGAAACTCTCGATCATGCAAATATACTCCAAATCCACCATAGG